ACACACACACACACACACACACACACACACACACACACACACACACAGTGCTTGCACGCACTCACAAAAAGAAAATTACTTCAAGCGATGTTATTCTGATTTTTGTTCAATTAAAGCTTTAAAATTAAATGCCTCAGACATAGCATATGTGACAATATTTGGGGGAAAATAGTATGATTGTTAACTGCTGTTTCCTAAGTTATATATCTAGGCAAGAACAAGTTAACAGGATGAATCTTTCAGTATGTGGAATTCATTGTGAATGAAAATTTATAAGATCAGCAATAACTGACTGTAAGTTGGAATCTGGAAGTTCTGGTTATTTGGGGGACCTTAGATGGGTCTGAAAAACCATCTTTATAGTTGACACATTTCTGAAAGCTAGAAAATAATTATATAAAGAATTAAATGTAAATGACAACTTTTGCTTTAAAAAAAAAAATCCAGGTTTTTCATAACTAAGTATTGATCAAAGAAAAAAAAATACTTGTTTCTTTTCTTTTTAGTAATGCAGTATGGAAAAGGCAAATCATGTTATTATAGGTTCCTGACCAAAGGACAGCAGTGGATTTGGCTTCAGACTCATTATTATATCACTTATCATCAGTGGAATTCAAGGCCAGAGTTCATTGTTTGTACTCACACTGTAGTAAGGTAATAATTCTTCTAGAAAATTTGTAAGGTATAGTAACAGCTAATTATAATTTTGTATGTGATTTGGTAGTGATCCTTTTCCAGTTTTAATACTTACTAGTTTTTAATATTAAGCTTAACTTAATAGGTAGAAATATGACATAGTTAGTGCATGGGTATGTAAGGCCTGACTTGAATAGTGTGCTATATAGCAAAAGTTGTACCAGCATTCAGGTGCCCGTGTACTTTATGGAAAGCAAAAACAAGAGTAGCTGTGCCAGTCACCCTTCCTTCATTTAGTTAACTCTTGTTTTACATGCTTTGCTCCTACAGATCATTTGTCAATACCTAAAGCATACAGATTGCATTTAGGCACTACACTGCAGATAACTATTAGGTTTGTTTAGCTCAAAGAAAATTGTACAGAATTACAGATGGTCAATGAGATAGATACAGAACAAACACCAATTGGTTATGCGTCTGTGGTATTTTAAATAAATGGCCAAACATTAAAATTTCAATCTTTTCTTTTGTAGTTATGCAGAAGTTAGGGCTGAAAGACGGCGAGAACTCGGCATTGAAGAGTCTCTTCCTGAGACGGCTGCTGACAAAGTATGTTTCCTACAGTCACTTTTTAAATACCCAGCTTCCTAAGAACTTGTGAGATGGGTTCCGTTATCCTTTAAAATTTTTCTTTTGAGTTTACTATTTTAAAATCTCATTTGCTTCTAAAAAGGAATTGAAGATCTTGCTACTTAAAACTTAAGTGAAAGATTACTGGAATTAGTATACTGATGGGTATGAGTAGGTAATATGGCAGGTTTGGGTCAAAAATGAGGGTGCTTGAATTGAGGTTAATTGTGAGGTATGACCAAGCATTAGTGGTTGAAGACCAGTGGAAGATTTTGAAGGGGGACACCAAGTAAAAGAGTTCATGGTGTTGGGTTTGAGCAGAGGTGATTTGGGATTACTCATTATGGGAGAATACTGAACCAGAAGTTAGAGTGTCATTCAGGTACTTCCTGAGAAGTCACCCCAAGACCACAAGATACATGCCCACAAGAAACCATGTGACACAGAATGTGAGCTCCACATCTTGAGCTTAAGGAATACAGGCAGGGAATGTATGTCAGTGTTAGCAGGAAGACGTCTTCATCTTTGGAGTTACGGTCTCAGAGTCTTAAGACAGAAAACTCTCACTTCTGATTGAACCTACAAGGAAGTTGGTAAGGCCCGGCATTTAGAGCAGATGGGTGAAGAAATATTTAGAGCTAAGGTAAAAAACACATAGTAAGTTGTTTATTATTGACTTTGAAGGTGGGTGGAATGTTCTGGAGGCTGAAAAGCCGTGAGAAGTGGACTCAAATACAGACTGCTTGTTAATGAAGGAGGAGGAAAGGCATTGGTGACATGGCCCCCCACCCCAGAATGAGTGACTTTGAGATCAGATAGTTTGCATTTACACATATTGGCATATATGTAAGCAATCATTTGTAGCTGAAATAAGGATGTACTTCCTTCTTGTTCCCTGCTGCATGTGGAAAGACTTTAAAGGGACACTGATTCTACTTGGGAGGAAGCACTAGTATAAATGCTATATCCATGGTACGGTTCTGCTTTTGGTGGTGGTGAGATAAGTGTTCCCCCCTGCAGAAGACAAGGTTGAGAGAGGGAGACAGAGACTTAGGAACACTGGGAAAAGCTTGGGATAATTCTCAAGAATAGGAAAACGAACCGTTAATACACTTTGGCAGTTCTGCTGACTGTAATTGAGCATACATTTGAAGTTAGTGACCATCACAGACCACCTGCAGTTGTTTCCACAGAGCCTTTAGCCTGTGAGCTACAGAAGCAGGAAGCATGGTTTAAATTGGCATCTGAGTTTGTACTGCTTATAGGTGCTACACTGTTTACTAGGACAAGGCAGAGACGGAATGACTAAGGTAAGTTTAAAGAAAAGGTCAGGGAAAGATCATAGGAAAGGATGGGGCAGTTAGTAGCTCATCCATGTAGTAAAACCGTGAACAAAGTCACATTTGAAGATTCAGAATGAATGTTGATTTCCAAAGACTACAGTACTTTGTAAAGCACCACCTTCACTTTGTTATTTACTTTTTATACTGACTTTTTGAAAATGTGCAGTAATGCCAATGTTAATGGTTTTAAGGGTACACTTCAGCATTGTAACACTGTTAATATAGCTGTCACTGCCATCCATGCACAGAACCTTTTCACCCTCCTAACCAGAAACTCTGGTTTGTTAAACAGCTTTTCGTCCATTCCCTCAAGCTCTTTCAAATATAGTTTTCTTTTTTTTAATTTATATACTCTTGAGTTATCTTTTATAAGTAGACTCATACAGTATTTGTCACATTGTGACTGGCTAATTTTATTGGTATGATATTCTCAGGGTTCATTATGTTGGAGCATGTATCATATTTCCCATATTGTTTTGGAGCTGGGTAATATTGCGTCATATGTGTATCCTCTTATTAGTCAATGGAATCCAGGGTTGGCTTCACCTTCTATTTGTAATAATACTGTGATTACATATAGGTATTCAGATATCTATTAGAGTCCCTACTTCTTTTCTTTGAATGTATACCAAGAAGCAGAATACTGGATTATATATATATATATTATATATATATATATATATATATATATAATATATATATATATATATATAAAATGTCATACTGATTGTTTTCTGAGAGGCTTTTGTGTTTGGTGGCGGTGGGGATTGGGGGGCTGTTGGGATGTATTTGTGTGTTGTTTCATTTTGTTTGAGACCGGGTCTCACTATGTAGCAGTGACTGGCCAAGAACTCAGTCTATAGACTAGGCTGGTCTCAAACTCACAGAGATCTGCCATCCAAGTTTCTGGCTTGGGTTTTTTGATTCTATCTATTCTCATAGGGCATGAGATAGCATGACTGGTTTTGATGTGTATTTCCCTGATTAGTAAGTTTGAGCAGTTTATCTGGTGACTCTTTTATATCCTCTTTGGAGAAGTATTTATTTTCCCTCTCCCTTTTTTGTTTTCTTATTTATCTGCTCATTCACTTACGTATTTTATTTTGTCTGGTTGGTGTTTTTTTTTTTTTTTTTTTCTTTGGAGGTAAGGTTTCAGATAGCCCAGACTGACCTTGGCCTGGCTGTGTGGCCAAGGATGACCTTGAGCTCCTGATCATCCTGCCTCCCCATCCCAACTGTTTGGTTTACAGGTGTGTGCCACCATGCCCAACATGTTCTCTTTTTGCTTGGGGGTTTTGTTTGTTTCTTGACAGGGCATCTTGCTGTGTTGCCCAAAATGAGCTCAAATGATCCTCTTATTAGCCTTTGCAAATGCTGTTTAAAGGTACAAACCAACGAGGTATAGTTGCTCACTCCTATAATATTAGCTTTTAGGAAACTGAGATAGGATTGTTACAGGTTCATGGACTATAGTGTGAGACCTTGTCTCAGCAACAAACCCAAGTGCATCTCATCACATATGATGTGTTCTGTTCTCATTTTTAATAATTGAGTTGGCGGGCTGGAGGGATGGCTCAGAGGTTAAGAGCACTGGCTGCTCTTCCAGAGGTCCTGAGTTCAATTGCCAGCAACCACATGGTAGCTCACAACCATCTATAATGAGATCTGGTGCCCTCTTCTGGTGTGCAGGTGTACATGCAGACAGAATATTGTATACATAATAAATAAACAAACATAAATAAATCTTTAACAGAAAGTCAAGTTGTTGAATTGTATGGAATTTTGTATTCTAGATAATAAGTACTAATCAAATAACGATGTATAAATGACTCCTCTCACTCTTGTGAATTATTTTTATTCTGTTGGTGGTGTTTCTTGATGCATAAATGTTTTTAATTTTGTGAATTCCAATTTACTGGTAAATCCCATGTCATAAAGCCATTTAATTATGTTTTCTTGAAGAGCTTTATAGTTTTAGCTCATAATATTTATATCATTGGTTTATTTTGATTTAATTTTTGAATGTACTACAATATGAGTCTTGTTATTTTTCTAACTAGAGAATGAAGCCAAACTTTAGCAGTATTAAAGTAATATTTTTTTTCTTACCTAACACACACACACACACACACACACACACACACACACACACACACACAC